TATATATATATATGTAAAATTAGAATTTTTTATCAAATCAAGAGTTTTTTTAAATAGACTATTTAATTTAAATAATCTAGATTATTAGATTATTAGATTAATAAAATTAAATCCTTATTTAATTAAATATATGTATCATACTTGTAATAAATGACATCGCTGTAATAAGCCATGTTCCTCGTGATTCTTATAAATGCTGAAGATGCGATTCGGTTTTTCTGGATGAGAATTGTCAGAAATGTTGCAATGCTTTTGCATCTTTTCATCATAGACGATACATACTTTATGAGGTGCTTTATACAAATTTGTTACTGCAAAATAAATTAAATTTTTTATAATTAACAATTAAACAATTATCAATTTTTAAAATATTTTTTAAATCACTTTAAAGTAATCATATATTTTCTTTTGTACTATTAAAAAGCTTATTGAATAATCCATTCAAAATTACTTTTATTCTTTAACAACTTCTTGTTAATAAAATTATAAAAACAATTCTTAATAAAAAATATTAATATCCATTAAATATTGCAATAAAATAAAATTTAACAAAACAAAATGTTAGAAATAATATTAAAAAAATATTAGCACAGAACTTTCACTACATCCAATAAATGAAACATATATTGCGATCTTTTTAAATATTCCTATATATATATAATTTTTTGCAAATAAAGCAATTTTTTAATACTTACATTGTATCAATTCATTCAATTTTTTCTCCATGACCTCTAATGTTTCTTTGCTTTGTATAGGATAGCAATTTCGAGTATCATACTTTTCTAATTTAATTTCACTGCCTCTAAAACAGGCAGGGAGGCAATTTATAAAATATGTTAATAATATTAATATGATTAATAATAAATTAAGGAATGATAATTTGTTCAAAATTCAATTTTTTAAAAATAATTTGTCTAAAAAAATTGAATTTGTTTCGTAAAATATTGGATATAACAAGTATACGTAATATATATAATAGAAATTTTTTAAATTATATTAATCAATCGTGTGTGCGTGCGTGTGTGTATGCGTGCGTGCGTGCGTGCGTGCGTGTGTGCGTGCGCGCGCGCGCGCGTGTGTGTGTGTGTATAGAGTAACAAACAAATAAATTGAATAATGTTTGTAATTTCTTACTTAAACGTCATCATAACTACATGTCGATTAGCAATCTCTTCTTTACTATGTGCTACACTATTAATGCTGTGTGTATCTTGATATTGATAACATTTCCAGTATGGTTTATGTGAGTAGATTACATTTAAGATGGTATCACGTATACTAGAACAATAAAATAAAAGACTTCATAAAATAGAATGAAAGAAAAGCTATTATTCTTAATATCAATGTAATAGATTGTTTACCTCAATGATGGTAAATCAAGTGTTTGTAAAACTGGACATGGATCTCCTAATAACGTTCTTAAAGTCAATGCTGCACCTTCTGCTAATGATTTCAGGCAATAACCACCCTATTTATTACAACATTGCGTTTAATATTTAATTGACAAAGAAATCAAAATATTTATACATATTTGTAAATATATTCTTTTACCTCTAATACCACAGCGACTTTTCCATTTGCCAGACTTAATAACGATGATAGCAAATGTGAATAACATGCTGGAGTTATTAGCATTTCACCCTATACATTAATACATTACAAAATAATATAAATATCATATAGTAATAATATAAATATCATATATAATATTATTACCTCATTTTCTCTTTATATATTCTTATAAATTAATCAAATTATAATAATTTATATATATAAAATATATATAA